GTGAGTGTCGTGCCGCGTGCGCGCTGCGAGCAGAAGACAGCAGCAACAATGGCTAAAAGGTTGTTCTTTGACCAACGCAAGGCTGTACTGAAGTGGTACTGACGAGGCGCAATTCAAAATGAACGGTACTGTTAATCGCCACAATTGTGTGTATTGGGCTCCTGTAAATCCACACGTTCACGTGGGCAAGAAAGTGAATCTACAGGGTGTTAATGTGTGGTGTGGTGTGTTCTGTCATCGCGCGGTCTGATTGCTCCTTTCTTCTTTGAAGGTACCGTAACTGGTCAGGTGTATCTCGATATGCTTCAGACATCGATTTTCCCTGCCATTCGAGAGCTGTTTGGAGATGAGAGATTTTACCTACAACAAGATTGTGCTCTACCTCATTACCATCGAGATGTCGACGATGGATAGGTCGAAGAGGTGCTATTGAGTACCCACCACGGTCTCCAGAACGAACACCTCTCGACTTCTATCTACGTGGAACCTTGAAGGATGAAGTTTATCGACAAAAGCAAGCTATACTGAACGCGCTACGAGAAATCATCGAAGCGTCGTGTGCAGCCATCACACCGGACACAGTGACAGCCGTAGTTCGCTCAGCAGTTCGGCAACATCGACGGTGTTTAGCCGCTGATGGTGGTCACTTCGAACACATACAATGACTCTCTCTCTCTCCCTCTCTGCGCAAGAATTGTAACTACATGTCACTTTGTTCCAAAGACACCGACTATCAAAGAGTGAGTACATCTTTTTGGGCCCCTCTGTAGTGACTGCTTACATTCTGCCGCTCAGTACAAGTGTTCAGTGTTGCAACAGTAAGATAATATTGTGACGTATACGTCCACTGCTAGGCAACGGCTCGATAAACACGTTACCGAGAAGACAGATTCTTGGTAAAACCAGTAGATGGGCAATGTCTACAATATGCGACAACAGTAGACGTCCATTTCTAGGAAACAGACGTGCTTTCCATGAGGTCAGGCACGACACTATATAACAGACAATGAGTCTGGCTCCAGGAGGAGTGGATCAGTGTAGTGTGGTCAGAAGCCGAGAATGTCCAGTCGAAAATGATTTGTGAAATGTTTAACAAGTTGTATAAAGGTCCAATAAATTCGATCATCCAATCCAAAACCCGTATTTTTTGTCACGCACACCATTAATACGTGACACTATTAAAGTAAATACATCTTGCCGTTAACCGACTCAACCTGTGCTACTGTGACGGAAGTGTGTAATAAAGGTTAGTAATAGTAACGCCATCTACACGCCCTCTCATTCCCTTCGCCTGTTTATACCAGGCCTGAGAATATTTACCAAATTGAGTAGTAGGCAACCCAATTCCAACTTTCACCCGTACGCTGCCTCATTCATAAGCTATTATCCTAAATTAGTAATGCCCAACCTCCAACCTTTCCCTGATTACAGTGATTACAACGGGGAAGTTGTGGAGCATGACAGAGGTGTCTCCAGCGCAGGTGAAAGTGTCACCACGTAAGGTGTGATGGCCCATCACAAGTAATCAGTGACGTCCTCAGTCACCGGCAAAATTAACGTTAAGCCACATGTGGGCTACGTCATCACCTACCAATTAACACCTCGCCCTAAGAACATCAGTTATACAGCAATACGCACAAAGCACTGTTGCTGTCTAGAAGAATTACGAACTTGCTTCGGCAGGAGCCGAAACTACATTACCAGCGCTGAAACATAACTTGCACTGTTGTTTACTGTTGGCCTCTTTTGTTTCCCTTCGTACCAACTGCGACCAGACTATCAAGAGTGAACACAATACGTTTTCGGATGCGTGCAATGGCCAACGGAAATTCAACAGAATGGCTCCCAGTTTGTTATACTTTGTACAACTGTAAAATAGTTAGCAACGTGATTATAAACGAACACACAGCTTGTACCAGCAAGCGGCACTATATTCAAAACAGAGTTACAAATCCGTAATGGGCTTACCTTTTCTTGCTTACCCTTACCTTTTGAAGGTAGTTATCACGTTGATCAGTGAAATGTTATTTCCCATAAACGAAAAAAAAATGCATTTCGTGTGTCACTGGGCTTAAATATTTAAAAATGGTTGATATTTTCGCTGCTTTTCGGCCACGATCCTGTGCGTCAGACCTGCTATAAATGAGTTACTGGAACTGGAACCAACGTAGATTATGTGGGTTCTGCATTACACGGTTAACAAGTGACTGCCGCGAGCCGGCTAGGCGCTGTGTTCTGTTAATACGCGTTCATAACGACCACCATCGGGAAATTCAGAGACCAAAGAGGGGCTTGTACACTGGTTTTGCTGCTACATGTGACACTAGTCACTGCGTAATTCGCCTTTCGGCGAAGGGCAAACGTTTTGGTTAACCTGTACGCGCGAATTAATGGTTCACACAGCGCATACTGGCTACAGAACCAGAAAAGTATTTGGCCGGGAACTGGTTATGTTAAGGAGCCAGCGTGGTCGGTATAGCAACTGGACACGAGCTCGCCGGACGAGGGGACTAAGTTCCAATCCCGGTTGTAACCGTACGTCCGTCGCCAAAATTATTTAATTATGGATATGAACAACTTATGCATTGTTTAATACCATGAGAGACGCTCCATCGGCGAAATACCATCCCGGGACCGTCCAGTTGTAATTCAGCTATTGTCCTCCTTAGGCTAAGGGTGCCACTATGTCCCTAACGTCGCCAGTTTACTCCCAGTACCATAAACCCATGAACTGACCGTGTGCGAGGCCGGCCAGGAGGGGTCTTGCGTGCCTTGAAGACCTAAAAAAGTTTACGGGCTTCTCGAAAAATACGAATGTAGGTCAGATGCCGGGCTCGACCCCTGGCTTTCTCTTTTTACGTTTCTATTTTTTTTTCGTTTTTTAGGCCAGCTGGAGGACTGGTAAAGAGAGGGCAGTCGGTTATAGGGAGCGGAGGACAGTAGCTGAAAGGCAGATAGAGAAGAGAGAAGTGTTTAACAGTAGGAGTAGCGAGTAGGGCGGTCGGAGCGGCTAGCTTGAAGGACAACGCAAATATTAACCATTGAATGAAATTTTAAATTAAAAGTGCAATATTCGGTGTTCTGGAGATCCCGGATTTATTGACCCCGAAGTGTGTTCCACTCCCATCTCCGAAGCACCCGTATCCCTGAGAAAAAGAACCCAAGCTCGAGCGCAAGTCGTGGCAGCTGTACGTCGGCGGTCGGCTACGCGGTAGGTTCAGCGTTCATACCGGTTCCGGGGCCCAGCCAGCCACCTACCCAATGACCACCACGGGGTAAAGCGGAGCGGGCGTGAAACTGACCACTCTTCTCCAACTAGTGCCGAGGTCAACAGTACACGAATCTATACATCCATTCCCCAATAGGCTTTCATGGGGCAGTGCCTAATTAAGCACAGGGTGAAATTTACTTTCCTGTTACATGTTGTGTTCGCTCATTCCGTTTATGAAGGAAACTGTACGAAATGCTGAGGCCGTCTTTAAACAGCGTTGCGGGTAAGATGTCCAAGAGGCAACGGGGCAGACGCGACTGCAATGTGGAAGGGGAAGGTAACGCTCTGTTTGACTAGCCCATGCACATCCTGGGATCCATATTTGATACAATAATCTACTGTACAATCTGTTGCAAACGGCCGGATCTAAAAAAGGGGGTAGTTTGGAGCCCTACATATTCGGCACCATAAGATTAAGATTTCATGCAATTTAATTTAGTATATCTTAAAAGACTGACACATGACATTCCTTTACTGAGAGGAAGAAAGGAAACGCAATGAAGATCTGCAGCAAATCCTAGTCTGCTGGGATAAGAAATGCTTGTAGCGGAATTCCGGTGATCCAAGGAAGTTTTCGTTTCATACAGGCTTCCGCTTAACAAAGACACGTGTATACACTGTGTTCTTCTAGACTGTGATACCGTGGAGTCTTGCAGGTTGATACCACCGTTTTGCAGAAACATATTACATGCAATTTCAAGATTGAATTGCGTAGGGCACCCAATCGGATGGTTTCTCCAATTGCAATACTGAGATTTTGGAAGTGGCCACTTCTTACAGGGCTCCATATCCTCTCACCCCCTCCAAATGTTCAGTGACCTCCCTCCTTGTTAACATGCTTATATAAACAGATTGCTCACCCTGCATAATTGAATCCTGAAGATGGAGGCATATGTACCTTCAAAACGTACGTACAATTCCATCTGACTAAATGGCGCCACGTCACAGCAGACAGGGCGACTCTTCATACTGAACGCCGAAACATGAATCCGAAACGTCACTCATACAAAAAGATTCTTAAAGGGTTCTGACGATGGTGTATAATACTCAGACTTACTGGGTTTTTGGACTTTGTCCATCGTCCGGTATTCTAGAAAACACGTTTGGGAAACTGGACCAGTTTCCGTCCTCAGATTGGGGGGGGGGGAGGCACCTGCTGTTGATCCCTTGTAAAAATGGGTCCAATGATCGAGAGGTTACGTTTAAGGGCGTGTACTCACTATAACGCTGCAACTTGCAACGCAACGGTTGCTGCAACCACATGTACGTCTTGAGCTTCGTTGCTGCAACAGTTCGCAGTGAGGTGCGCTGTGACCCATCTGAGTGTCTGCATTCTTGCGACGCGCAGTGTGTTCGTTGACGTGTGGAGAGACATTTCATAATTCACGTCTTCACTAGGAACTCGGCGGAGGAACTAATGTTCGAGTTTGGGTTCGGTGAACGTACACATCATACGTGGTTGCAGCAACCGTTGCGCTGCACGTTGCAGCGTTGTAGTGAGTACCCGCCCTAAGGGGCCCAACAGAGCGGGTGTCTCCCCCTTCACCTGAGGACAGATCCAATTTCCAACACGTTGTGTTCTCTAGTTGTCAAAATACCGGACGATGAACAAAGTCCAAAAACCTAATAATTTTTACTGTCATTCATAGGGCAGAGCTAACCGTACACAACCCTGTGACACCGATTGCCACACTTAAACTTACTAAAATAAAACAATGTTAACACTCACCAAGGTCGGGGCGCAGTACAGACAGACGTGCAAACTGTAGCGGAATGCTGGCCAGAGAAAACCAGAGCGCCAACCTAGAAACAGACAGTATGACTGCAATAGCTATTACTTTACTGAAGTATCCAGCGTAACGCACACTGCTAAATCGAGATTTCTGCCTTTGGACGGCCCAATCTTCAGCGTGTCAGAGTGTCTCACATCCTACACAAATGAGAGAATGATCTATACGCGAAGCAAGTCCTTGCCAAAAACTGTGACGCCCATGCCAAGTTGTTTCAGTCTATCTTCGTTCCTGTTGCTCCCACGTGGAGCGTGCGGCATCCGTGAAATGCTTCATTTCACTTCAGTTTCTTAATCTTAGCAAGTCGGTAGGACTCCTTGGACGGGGGATCAGACCGATGCAAGGCCGCTACCTACACAGGATAACGCACCTCAAGTGGGATCCAAACCCACGAACCTAGCGTTCGAGCGGGCGAAGACATTCCATGCCTTACAATGCGCGGTCACTGTGATCGCCTGTTTAACAGTGGCAGGGACTAACTAATGTACCCAACTGAAATTGCTGTCTAGCATTTTATGTCCCTTTTATGTCCTCACATAATCACGACACGGAACACCTGATTATACACATGCTAGTTTTCTAATTAAGTAATTCCACTGAGCAAAGTCTTTCTTGTGTAGCTGACAGTCGCTTAGCTACTCTATAAATTCTCCTTCTAAGAACCCGCAGGTTCACTGAAGTGTTCATGTGAAGGGCGAATCTATGAGAATTAAACGTGTACACCTCGGGTAACTAATGATGCACGCACGAGAACAAACAATGCACATTCACACATGAGCTTATACATACATACTCCCACTCACCCACACTCCTCACATGCTTAAGTACGCGGATCTGTACCAGAGCTAACCACTGTGACAAAACGACGTATGGGGAAGCAGAGATAACGTCCCACACATTCTAAACGGTCAGCTTCATGCTCAGACAGTTTTATTCCAGGGGAAAGGGCCCTCATCCTTGAAAAAAAATCCCTGCCCCCGCCTACAATTGAACCTAAATCATGAAGACCGTAGCCAGTAAACTGCCTCAGTCATGCACTGAAATAACGTACCACAGTATGTGTGACGTGGATGGCACAAAGGGAAGTGGGGTTCACGTGAACTCTGCGTTCCCTCGAGTGACGTCACATACCCCCACTCCTTCCACCAGTACGCAACGGTCGGTGGGCGCCCCCCTCCCCCGCGGTGACGTAGCAGAGGAGCGGCTGTGTTGTTACCAAGGGACACGGTAGTTGCTACGCAGCAGGAGACAACTCTCGACAGCGTTGCCTAGCAACACCTGTAAACAAGGCGACTAGGCAACAGGGAAGTGAGGCGTTTTCCCGTTGTCTGGCTGAGGGTTTATAAGAGAACTATACTGACTAAGGAGTTAGTTAAAATGTAGCTGCCGCCGAAGCAAGTTGGAATATAGCAGCAGTCGCGGGAAGAAGACCCGAACGCGTGGTTGGAAGATTTGATGTGATAATTTGTGATACTGCCGAGGGCAGTAATTGATTGTAAATTGTGTGACTGTAAGAGCGAATGTGCAATAAATTCGTTATATCAAATACGGCGTGAAGTTACTTGTCGCGTGTCACACACCCAACACGTGGCAATATTATTTATTTGACTGCAAATGGGGTTTTACACTATGGCAGTGGTAATACAAAAAGTCACAACACACAGAATATCCCGCCACATTTGAACAAAGCACAGCACACAAAACCACATAATAAGAAACAAAATACACAACACTCACATACGACACACAATGAATACAAATACAATACAAACACAATTCCCAATACAATACCAATACTTAACCTAATCAGCCCACAAGTATGAACTAAGTTGGGTTTCAAGAGTACTATCTTCTTGGATATAATACCGTGTAGTCCACTGAAAATAAACAGACGTTTCGGGCGAACATATCGCCTACATTTTCAGGGTCGAATAGGCTAAGCAACAAACCAGCATGAAAACAGGTGGTATCTTCGACCTTGAAGATAGAGGCGATATATCTTCCGAAATGTTGGTTGACTTTCAACAGACTACACAGCGTTATATCCCAGATCAGAGCTGTACGAACCTGAAATCCTCCACAAGTCGGCCTTACTTCACCGCACATACGCCACAACAGTATAAGCAGGCCTATTACGTTTCTTAATACATAGGCCAGTTTCTTGCAACAGAGGAATGTCGGACTGTCGGAAAGCCATTTATCTGCAAATTGCACTTTCCAGAGCTACACCCTAAGGTGCCAATGACATAACTAATGCTGGCTATTATAATGTAGTACACCACACCTGGCTATACATTCAATAGCCTGTCACTTTACTGAGTTCTCTGTTCACACCAACTTCACCTCAAGCCTCTGCTTCAAAGAAAGGTAAAGCTATCCCTGCAACATGCCGTGGAGACCCACAGGGTGGTGAGACATCGAGGCTTCCAAAAATTATTTCTGCAACTAGGGATGCGGGTTGCAGATCACTATTCCAGCGTGACATATGAGGTTATTATGTGAGTGACCATGAAGATATCCTGCTTCCAGAGTCGAAGAAACGCGGCAGATGGAGATATTATGTTCCTCGGAAACGTCTTCACCTTTCTGCTATATTTACATACCGTCACGTATCAGAAGACAGCAAGTAATCTTCAAATCTATCTGCGAACTGTTTAACACAACCCCGCTTTCCGCCGACTGCTATAATTACACTGGTCCACGTGTTTCTTGTGTTACCTTTTGGCGCATGGCATTTAAATTCGCTTGTGTTTTGTTCTCGGTCGAAGCGTTTAAAATTTAAATGCTCAATTCTGCAGCGTGTAACAATTACGTTTGTTGAGCTAGGAGGTTTTTAAAGATCTCTCTTCAACTGCGGGTAAAAATACCGATACAGAGAAGCCTAACTAACACTAGAGAAAGCGTCCTTCCTAGGACTAGACGTCTCTGAAAATCAACTGCAATGAAGAAAAGAAACCGCTTATTTATACCCATAAACAAACACCGTGGTCTCTAGTCCGCCCGCGAACTATACCGACGGAGCGACCGCCGCTTGTCGGCGAAGTTAGTGTCAACTTTTGCTGATAGAGGATGTCGCGTGGTCGGCGCAACGGATCCCCACGGTCATTAATTTCGGTTTTCTAGACCGGAGCCGCTATTTCCTTGAAATAGCTCCTCAGTTATACTCACGAGGCTCAGTGGATCCCATTCCAGACCCACTTCCCAGAAAATCTGGCAGCGCCTGGAATCGAACCCGGGACCTCTGGATCTGTAGGCAGGAACTCTTACCACTATATATTCTCCACCGACCCAAACTCTATGATCTTGTAAAATATATATTTTGGGGACACGTCCCCATTATCGGCTGTCAGTACAGATACGGGCTACAGTCTCGAAGGTCAGTGTTCGATTCTCGACAGGGGAAACAGATTTTTCCTTACTCCACAACGTGCGGACCTGTTGTGGGGGCCTCCCAGCCTATCCAAAGGATACGGTAGGCTCTTCTTCCTGTGGGTATAGTGGCAGGGGAGAAAAGCTTATCACTCACCATCTGGTGCCGAAGTCAAGAATGGTGGAGCTATACCTCCATCCCCCCATGCTTTCATGGCATAGTGCTTTATTAATTTATCACGGGGCCAACTGTGCCTTTTCTTACCCACCGTTGCGCTGCATAGTCGCTTCTCGGTGAATGAGACGGCTGCCGGACATACACCGCTTTTGCGCTACTGGCACTAAGAACAGTTACGGTTGCGTACCAACCATAACTGGAGCAAATGGAAGGAGATCACTGAAAGAAATGATTCTCTATATGAAAAGGAAGAAATTACAACGCCGTTGGTACGAGAATGTGTCCAGCTAATATGGTCAATGTAAACTAATGAGTATCAGCAGTTAAGCAGCAGGTGAAGTCCAGTGTTGACAGATCGCCTGGAAGATCGTGACGGCTCTCATATAGCGATGTGTCAACACTGGACTTCACCTGCTGCTTAACTGCTGATACTCATTAGTTTATTATAACTACCCGAAAAGACAGCCCCACACACGGAAGACATCTGTGAATATACTGCGCAGACGCGGCGGCCGCATGGCTCGGAAATGTCTTTACTCCAGGTAGGGTACATAAGAGGAACGCGGCCGGTTTCTGCTACCAGAATGTTCCTTGGATATACTCGTACTATCTAAAAGGTAGATTGCGTTACACACCAATGTCATGACATCACATGAGCCGCGGTGATGTAACGCCGTCTGTGGGCTGCGCTAACGCGATAAAAAATGCAAGATGGCAAATCCACTGCAGCAGGATTNGATGGGCGGGTGTGGTTATGTGGGCGTGAGAACGAGCAGCTGAAAAGAATGCGGTCAGTCAGCATAACACAGCAACTGTCTCGCTTTCTCGCTCCTGCGGCCTTCCAGCCAGACGTTCCGTGTCCACTCTGCAAGAACACGACGGCTGGGGTGCAAGTTAAAGCTTTTAATCAGGGTGGTCCCTGCAAAAATAAAAATCTGAAAGAAAATTAATCTGTAGACCTATAAATGTAAAACTGTCCCTATAACTTGCTAAGGACGTGTATGATGAAACGTGGTGTTATCTCTGATTTTTAGCATTAAATGGGAGGTGTTAGCTTAATGCTCTGGCCGCTTTACACCCAATGGAAGGGCCCCTGTACCACTACGCAAGGTGACTGGGTGGGCTTGAGACCCGATCTAGAAGTGACATACCACTCGTAAACGAACACGCGGTAAAGGCTAGCGAAGAATAACGTAAGAACTACATGGCCAAGAAAGACATTACTGTCACAGCTTCATGAACTGAGCCTTTCTAGAGAAGCCGTCAATTCTGCAGCTACTCAAGAACTTCCCAGCATTTTATGGAACCCGAATGTTTATTACCATGCTCTTAAGAGCCCTCCACTGGTTCCTATTAGGAGCCAGATCGATCCAATCCATACCATGCCATCTCATCTCTCTTAGACTCATTTTATTATTGTTCATCCACCTATGTCTTAGTCTTTCTAGTTGTCTCTTTCCTTCTGG